CATGTTTTTGGATTTGGGAGAACTGGAGATAAATCGGAAGGTCGCTTAGGACACCCATTGTCGAAATTCCAACCTACAAGCACTGCTTCAGTTCAGTCGGACCAGTCAGTTCAGTCAGCCTGCCTGCACTTGCTCTTGACTGCCCAGCTGCATGCATGCGCAACGTGCTCGGTATTTGCGCCACCCTCAAGCTACGGAGAAAAAACGCAGTGCCGTGATAAGTGCATATTGCGTGCGCGCGACACAGAAAACCACCATCATGCGAACGTACCCCCCCCGATGCCGAACAATCAACGTGGTATGCCCGAATGTGTTTTTGTTCTCCTAGTGCGTAGTGAATGTTAGTTGATTAGATGTAGCAGGCGTGTTTTTTTTGTTTTTAGGCCATCCATAATGGCTAGAGGGAACCAACTCTTATATTAACTGATACATCCTTGTTTTAACGGATACAACACCAACGTTTAAATTTAAGGGCAACGGGCCCCCAGGGTCGGGGCCAGCCTGGCCGGAGGCCCACCGAGCGCCAAGAGGAGGGCGCCAGCAGCGGCCGCATGTTGAAGGCAGTCAGTCTCGCGGTCGCGCTCGCGTCTGCGGGGCGCGGAAATCACAGCGCGCGGCGACGCCGGGCAGCGGCTCTGCCTCGGCTCAGCAAGCCAGCGACCCTCGTCCGTCATTGGCCTCGTCAAGAGACGCTGGGCCGACGGGTAGCGAGGATAGGCCGCCGCCCTCCAGCGAGCGGGCCTCGGAGGAGGCCGCGAGGTCCCGCTCCTCGCGGCTCGGCCGCCAGCAGCGCCAGCCGTCGGCGGCCCCAGCGGCGCCCGGTGGGAGCGGGCCCGCCGCCGAGGAGGGCCCGCCAAGGGCGCGCGACCCTCAGCCACGTCGCGCAGCGCGCCTTCGGCAATTTGCTGTGCGCGCGGTGCCACGCCTACGCCAGGGGGCGCATCGGCAGCATCCAGGCCCTCGCATCCCAGTGCGCCCCGCACGCGGGCGAGGCGGGGCGCGTCTGTCGGCTTCGGGCCGACCGCGTTCGCAGAGGCCCGCGCCCCGCCAGCTCGGCGCGCCTCGCGGACGACGCGGCGGCTGGCGAGGCACCTGGCCTCCTGGGCGTGGCCGCCCCCGCTCCGCGGCAGCGCGAGCCGCGCTGGCCCTTTTCGACCCCACCAGCGCGTTGCCCGCGCCGCGACGGCCCACGCGTCGTCGGCGGCTGCGGGGCGTCGGTCGCCGCCGCCCTCCTGGGTCTTTGGCCCCCAAACAATGGTAGCTGTAGTGTGCGCGCGCAGCGTGGTGTGCACAGGCGCTGTTTTGAGCACGGTTGTTGCGGTGTACGCAGGTGCTGTGGTATGCACGGCGCTGTGGTGCACGTGAGCGTTGTGGTGTACACAGGCGCAGTGGGGCATATCGCCACCTACATGCTGCTCGCATCGTCGTCGTCGTCGTTGTCGTCGCTCGTCGCTCGTCGCTCGTCGCGTCGCGCACGCGGGCGCGGCTGCGGTGCCAGAGCCGCGCGGCGGGGGGGGCATTGCGCCATGCCCCCCCTCTCCCCCCCTCGTGACGCCCGTCATCGCCGAACATGAAGAAACGCGCTCACATGATCGAGGGTGAACAGTTGCACCTGATGGACCTTGGAATGGGCCTGAGGACCGGTATTGAACATATTTTCCCGCATCTTCCCATCTTGACCGAGATTCTCGGGGTTCCTCCTCCTCCTCCTCCTCCTCCTCCTCCTCCTCCTCCTCCTCCTCCTCCTCCTCCCTCTCCTCCTCCTCCTCCTCCTCCTCCTCCTCCTCCTCCTCCTCCTCCTCCTCCTTCTCTTCGTCTTCCTCCTCCTCCTTTTCCTCCTCCTCCTCCTCCCTCTCCCCCTTTTCGCCCTCCCTTCCTCAGGTCGCCTACGGCCCCGGGGGCAACCGTCCATATGATGTGTCTACCAACGTTAGTTTTGACCACCAAAAAGAATATTGAGCAGCAAAGCGGTAACGAAGCTGGAGGGATTTCGCGAGTTGGGCCCTGGGAGGCGATACTCGTCCGACACCGTTTCAATACTTTTCTGGGTGCCGGAATCATTTCTGCGATGTGGACTTTAAGTAAGATGGGAGCAACACAACCCCAGGGAACAATCAGTAAACCCCCCTCCCCCCCGCTCTCATCAGAGGAAATCATGCCGCTTCCGGCACCGGGGCCGGGGCGGAAGCGATATCCCCCGCAGGTCACCAGAGGTCCGCGGAGGGGAGGTCCCCGGAGGTTCCCAGGAGGCATCCAGAAAGGCCTCCACACGCCTCTGAATGCCCGGTCCCCTTGGCCCTGCTTTCAAGCCGCAATTGTTGGAGTGACGGGCGGGGGAGAGGGGGAGGAGGAGTGCCCCCAGGTCGTGCTCGACCTGGCGGTGTTCTGTGAAGCTTTGGCGCGGTTTCCTGAGTGATTCCTTGGATTTCTATGGATTCCTATGGTTTCCTATGACGTCCACACGGGCCACCGGATCCAGTGGCTAACTTTTTCACCCACACACACACACATATATATATATGTATATATATATATATATACACATGGAAAAATTGTGCTAACAAATTGCGGGGGGGGTCGCGGAATGCGTCTGCGATATCCCCCCGCGGGCTCTCTCCCATCTAATCCCCTTGAAAAAACATGTTTCCTGTCGCCGTCGCAATAGGAATTGCCTATGTCCACGCGAGCCCTCGTTTGCCAAATTCCTTAGATTCCTTCCCGTTTCCTGTGTGATTCCTGTGGGACTCCTTTGAGGTTCCTTTGGGGTTCTTTTGATATTCCTTCAGTGTTCCTTTGAGATTTTTGTAGGGGTCGTTTGAGGTTCATGTGAGATTCGTGTGTGCTCCCTTGCTGAAGGAACCGCCACATCGACCTCCGAGGCCGGTGGCTTATTTTATGTAAAATACATGTGCTAACATATCGCGGGGGGGTTCGCGGAATGCGTCTGCGATATCCCTCCGTGGGTTTTTCTTCCATATGACCGCCTGAAACATCATTTTTTCATCGCGGTCGCAATAGGAATTGCCTATGTCCACGCGAGCCCTCGTTTTCCAAATTCTTTAGATTCCCTGCCGTTTCCTGTGTGATTCCTGTGGGACTCCTTTGAGGTTCTTTTCGGGTTCTTTTGATATTCCTTGAGTGTTCCTTAGAGATGTTTGTAAGGGCCCCTTGATGTTCATGTGAGATTCGTGTGGCGGCCCAACAAAGTGCGGTTCTTTTTCGGTGCCTTGCTGTCCGATGCGCCTCCCACTTGGGCTTGCCGACCAAAATGGAGTTCCCCGTGACAGTTATTACCCGGGATTTCATTGTTAGTCATTGTTGATTTACTTTTGATTTCCGATGCGCGTCAGTTTCCCGGTGTTTTAGCAAGGCGGGAAACCATTGGCAAGCGTTCGTGCGCATTGGTTTTTCAGGCTGTCGCTTCACGTTGCCGCCAGCTTCGGGCCCAGGGGGGGGGGCAAATTAATTGATTATTTTATTTTATGTTTTATGTGCCAACGATATCGCCGGAGGGCGCCGCTTGAAATAATTATGTATTTTATGTTCTGTGCTAACGATATCGCCGGGGGGGGGTACTGATTTTGGGGGGTGAAAGTGGGGGTCGGCCGCAGGGTCCCGGCAATGATGTCTTTATGGGCCATGAATGGGCGATGCATCCTCGATTGTTGTGGTCGGCGGGGGAACTAATGGAAGCCCCCCGCTTGCACCCATGCGCGATACTTGAAATGAAAGGAAGCAAGGGGGCGGGGGGCTCGGGAAAGGCGACGAAGGCAACGTGCGCTGAGGGCGCAAAAAGAAAAGGCTGGAACACACGAAAGCGGTCAGGTCAGTGTCGAAATTTGCCCAGCCAATCTGACATGCGGAACAAAACGCCTCAGTGTTGGGGATCTCGAAGGCCAGGGCAAAATGTGAATTCACATTGTGGGGGAAAGCAAAATGTGAATTCACATTTTGGGAAAAAGGAAAATGTGAATTCACATGTTGGAAAAAAGGAAAATGTGAATTCACATTTTGGAATTTGGTGTAAGATTCTTTATGAAAGGGGCCAGAATGTGAATTCACATTTTGGGAAAAAGGAAAATGTGAATTCACAGTTTGGGAAAAAGGAAAATGTGAATTCACATTTTGGGAGAAAAGTGGGCCCCATTCCAAATCTGTCTTGGGGGTCGAGAAGTCATCGTTTGGGAACATACACGATCATCAATCGCACAATCAAGACACACTTGCACTCCACTTCGCTGCCCCACGCGCAATATGCAAGAACCCCCGCACGCATGAACGATAATGGATGGGCGGCGCGTGTGCCCGCGCGGGCAACGCGCGGGCACGAACGACTGGCCCTCAATGACCGCCAACATTGGATGCCAATCGTACCCGTTCACATACATGAGCGATACATTGAGCATACATGGGCCATTCAGCCCCCATTGAAGACCCCCTGTTGCAGACCCCCTCTTTCACCCTCCAATGATTGCTTCCCGGGGTTAAGTCCAGCGATGACCTGGGTCATCGGCCCCGCCCGCCCCCCCCCACCCCCAGATGACCTGACCTTGTCGGCTACCCAGGTCCGAACGGGGGTGCGCAGCCCATGTGCGCGCTGGCATACGCGGGACTGCCCAAAGCGAAAAGATTCGGTTATCGGCCAGCAGCTTCCCCCCCCTCCCCTCCACGTGCTAACATGTGTTAGTACCGAAATGTAAGACATGATCTCTGCTGGATGGAATCTCGAATCTCCCGCGGCCGTTCGGGATGATCCAGGCTTCCCTGGAACGCTCCCGGCGAGGCACTGCTGGTGGAAAGCACCCCGAGGTTGGGGGTGAGTTCTGGCCAGAACTTCGAGGCGGATCCAGCCGTGCCCACGAGGGCGCCCCAGGACGAGCAGAAACGCCCAGACAACGAGCCTCGAAGCTCGACCCTCGAACGGATACCTGGTACTTGTCCTGCCGCTGCCGCGGCGCGCGCTGCCGATTGGTAACAGAAATCGCGTGCCCGTCTGCAAGGTCGTCGGCAGCCTCACCAAGGTCGCGAGGTCTCAGAGCACCACCTCCGTG